TTCCATAGTCCCTTATGTAATTAGTGACAGAGAAAACATAAAGAAAATGGTACTCGAAGTGGGACAACCAAGTGAGTTAATCTTAAATGGAGTTAACGAACAATCAGGCTTGGAATACAAGCTCATAAATAATATTCCTTTATAGTTAGCAAGTGGAAATGAAGGACCTCTATTGAGGCCCCGAAACTGAAACGATAAGGTTTTAAGGTCTAAAACGGAGTGAGCTTATAATCTGAGATATTCTCCCTTTTGCAAGCGGAAGTGAGGTCACTCACTAGAGCGATAAGGTAAGTATGTGAGTTAATTTGAGCATGAAGTGAGGACCTCGGGTGAGGCCCCCAAACTAGGGAAAAAGATAGAGTAGCACCCTACTCCAGACTACACAAAAAGGTAGGGGCAGGGAGAGGCACACATAGTCTTTATTACTGTGTAAAGAGATAAGACCTTAGGGAGGGATTCCTCCCTGCACCTTTCTCTAATAATTAACTCTAAAAAACTTACCACATTATAAAGATTCAATCAATAAGGGCAGGAAATCTGAGGTCTTGACCGCTCTTCCCAAGGGAAGGAACTCCCAATTCCTGGCCGATCTCAACAAGGGAAGGAACTTCGAGTTCCTAACCGATCTTACTTCAATAAGGGAGGATTTCCTGGCCGATCTTGTTTTCAATGCACGAACTAGTCTTATTATCCACTGGTTACTCACTAGGACTGACATTTCATATCATCCTTGGGTTACTTTTCGAGAATAGTTAGATAAAACAAGGTCGCAATCCCTACTTTGGGGATTGAGATAAGACCTTGACCTTAAAAAAGTGGCAATCTAAGGTCGCAATTCCCTAAGATGGAATTAAGATAAGGCCTTGACTTCTTGTATCTTGTAGCTGCCGGAATAAGTAAGGCTGCAATCCTCGCCACAGGCATTGGTTGAGACAAAGCCTATGCTTCATTCAAGGATGAGTGAGTAAAACGAGTGAGAAATCCCCACTTGATAGGGTCAAAATCAATGTTTTAGGGCCTTTAGATATTGAGACATTGGTGAAGACACTAATCAAGTTTAGGCCCTATGAATTATAGGGGCTCAAACACTTCAAAGAAGTGATTGAGTGTCCCCCGGGAGATGGGGAATCTTAGGGAGTCATTTGATCCTGGATATATACCAAGGTGGTTGACCCTAAATATAATTTTTTTGAGAGAATCTCAATACGAATCCCAGTTGAAACAATGCTTTTTGTGATTTTACTTACTTTCCAACCAAAGTTAATATTGCAAAGGCTTGTTACCTCTAAAGTTTAAGGATTAAATAAAAAAAATAAACTTACACAATTTATATTATTATTCATGATTATTTGATACTATATACATCTTTCAATTTAAAATATAATATATAAACTTATATATTTATCAAAAATGATGAATTTATATTGGCACCTATCACAAATTATGAATAATTTAATAAAAAGTTATAAAGATATTTTGTGTCAATACGAAGTACGAGTTGTTACACTAGTATCAAGGCCGCTTTCGGTAGGAGATGGAAGTTATGGTATCGACGCCTTTGATGGAAGTATTGCAGAGGAATAATGATAGAGATGATGCGGTGACAAAGGTAACATATCATTTCATTTACAATTGGATCGTTAGGTCTTGGACCATGAAAATTTTGAGAATTAGTTTTTTTACAACGAGAACTTTGACTTTGTTATATGGTGAATTGTTAGCAATTAGCAAGATATTTGACTGGTGCTTCCAGTCATTTGGTTAATGGTGCACTATAGATAAACAAAGGAATGCACAAAAAACTGTGGTGATTTTCATTGACAATAGATACATTACGCATATTGAGAAAATAGATCTAACGAAAGCAATTAATAGAATTGAACATATTGATGCTGTGTTTAACCTAAATAATGAATGGTGCCGTTTAGTTGAGTCGCATGGTTGTGTAGTGTGCTTAAGTAGTTGTGCATATTGGATAATGCTTATATATGCTCATTATCAATCAACAAGTTAGGAGAGGTTGGTTGTATTAGGAGCGTGACGATAATATTAAAAATGTGGTTTTCTTTTACAAGCACCATGGACATAAGCTATGAGAGACGAATCTTCATTTATTTTAAGATGGCCTTACCAGTCAATTAACAAGTTACGAAGAACATCAAAGTTAATTGGATTTTCATGAACACCAAGTGAAACAATTTTTTTTGAATTCAAATCCAAATCCATTCAGTGTATGAAAGATGAGATCAACATCATTCAATGAAGAGTTGTTCACAAATAGTTCATCAAACATAGATTTGATTCCTTGTACATAATCAATAAATGGTTATGTACTTTTGGTGAAACAAGATAAATGTTCTTAAAGATGTATGGTGTGGAAGTGATTTTTGTCTGCATACATCGTGTTACGGCTATCCCATGCTTGTTGAGATATTTTAGCATTTCCAAGCATGGTAATGATACTTGGATTTATTGAAGAAATGTTAAAAAGTAGAAATATGTGCTTTTGACTCTACCTATATGTGTGATCTCCATGATTTCTGACAGATATGCTTGATGCCATCAACAAAGTCTATATGGCCATAGTATACCATGAGGAAATCGAAGAAAACCCCCAAGTAATATAGTTGAAGTGGGTAAGTTCGAGGGATGAAAACTACTATTGATGTAGTTTATTTGATTTTGAAAATATGGATATAAGGCATGTTGAAATTTCAGGTTTGAATCAATTCTTCGGAGTTATTTGTAACTCATACCATAAGCAAACAAAGGAGTACACAAATGTTTTGATGATTTTCAATAACCTTTGATGCATTACATGTATAGAGAATATAACTCTGACAATTATAGAAGCAATAAATAGATTTGAACTTACATTTATTGGCAATCCTTTCATATCAATTACTGCTATCATAAGAATTACAAGTATCATTTATCTGAATCGCATGAATGTCATCATGGTTATGTTGTAGCGTGACATGATACTCCTACACGCTTAATCTACCACACAATGTCAGGATTGTGTCAGTATCAGATATGAGATACATACGCATGCTAAAGTATTTCTCAGGTATGTTTTTTGATATTGCAGTATAACTGAAATAGAATATTGAATCCTATTTTTTTTTTTCGAAAACAAACAAATTAACCTAAACAAATAGTGTAAACAAGATATTTGCTAAAAACATCTTCTCTAGCACTGTCTCTTTAGTCATTACTGCATAACCGAATAAAGTTTATCAGTTTCTCTAAATCAGCTGATTCCATGACCTGATTAATAAAAACTAATTTTCAAAATGCGACACAATTACAAATTTCAACCATCTAATCTCAAAGCAATGACAGATTTTGTTTAACATTAGTTCATCATTCATGATAATTTTATTTCAGAGAATTTAGGTTCATCAAGTGAATCTCAGAAAAAAAAAAGAAAAAAGAGAAGAATGTTCGAAAAACAAACGGGCCTTTATTGTATTAATTTTGGGCCAAACGGGCTTGAATGAAAGAGATGAAGAATCCAAAATGATTGAATGTTTGAGCAATGTATGAAATCTATGTAATTTGTAATAATATATAAACGATAAAGAACGTCGACATTGGTGTTTGTATTGTGTTATTGTGTGTCATTTTCACAGGTCAGAAATTTGGTCTCTTCTTCAAAATCTCCTCTTCACCACTACCAGTTACTGTCAAGGTCCCATTCAACCCCTAATTTCTCTATTTTCTCTGCTCTAAATCATATTTTTGTCGTCATTTTTTTCTGTTTCGTTGCTTAACGAAATTTAGGGCTTCGTAATTTTTACTCTTTAGTTCATGCATGTCGAGTTTGTTGTGTGCATTTTCTTACATGGTGATGAATCTGGTATCTCGTGGTCCATTTATTGTTGTTTCGAGCTTTTTATCGTTATGTTTGTTTTTTTTTTTTTTGCTTCATTCAATTTTTTTAACGTTTCTGTTGTTTATTTTAAGTAGATTAGGGTTTTTGTCTGGTATTTGATTTGAACTTTGTTTTGCTTTGGAATTTAAATTTCGTTCTTCAACTGCTTTAGGGGCAGTTGAACTGTGCCTTTTTTTGATGATGATGTGAAGTAGATTGTTAAATGATCTTAGTTTGTTTGATTGATTTCGATTTAGTTGTTGGATTGTAGTTTTTTTAGTGGAATCAGATAAGGGTATAAAGCTTGGTGGTGGTTTTTTGTTGTTTGATTGAATCATTTTCGTAACATTCAATTGTGTTTGTGTCTTGCTTTGAAAAATTGAGTTTGGTGATTTATGTGCTGCTGCCTGAAAGAAAATTAGATTGTGGAGGAGTGGAATTGGAAAATTTAGGGTTTGTTTACTTTGTGAAAAAATTGGTTTTTATTATCTAGATTATGTGTTTTATTTTAAACAGATTTGGATCGTCTTATTTTTGAATCGAACATCAAGGGTGTTGTTCATCATCTCACCATTAAAATATATTGGACTCAACTTATATATTTTTGAAGTTGTTAAATCCAATAAATTTTAATGGTGAGATGATGAACATAATTCTCTTATGTTTGATTCAAAGATGAGAGACATTTGAAGTGAGTCATTGTGTTGGAGATGAAAAAATGATAAACATGATTATCACTTTCTGTTTACATTTTGTTTGGTTTGAGGCATATGGTTGCTTACAATTTGTTTGTAGAGGCCTATATTATTGATTGCACTACTCTTTTTGGATGGATTCAACTGTTGAGCCCATCTACCGATGATGTGATTTTATACTTGGAATTTTGTTTGTAATATAAAAAAAATTCAATGCTTCATACATTATTTCAAGATTTGAGTTGACCAATGCAGGGCTGTTGTAAATTTGAAGGCTGCACATCTTTTGGGAGACTGGTGGAAGTGGGATATTGGAAGGTATGTTCACTCTCTGCAGTTTAATTTGGTTAAGCTGTTCTAGAGCAGTTAAATTAAATTAATATTTTTTTGGCAGTACACTTGGCTACACCTCGCACTTTGGATCTTTGATGGACTGCAACAAAGAAGAGGCCATAAGGGCCAAGGACATTGCTGAAAAGAGGATGGAAAACAAGGATTTCGCGGGGGCTCGTAAATTTGCTCTTAAGGCTAAGCAGTTGTATCCAGTTTTGGATAATATACCTCAAATGCTTGTTGTTTGTGATGTGCACTGCTCTGCAGAGCAGAAAGTGTTCGATAATGAGATGGACTGGTATGGAATTCTTCAGCTAGAACACACAGCTGGTAATGCAATGATTAAGAAGCAGTACCGAAAGCTTGCTCTTCAGCTTCATCCAGACAAAAACAAGTTTTCTGGTGCTGAATCTGCATTTAAGCTGATTGGGGAAGCTCAGAGAGTGCTTTCAGACACTGTAAACCGGACTAGGTATGACATAAAGCTTAGGTTGAACAAAGCTTTTATGCCTCGTCAAAATCAACAGAGGGTTCCTTCGAATTTCAATTCTGCAATGAAAAACAATGTCAGCCCCAACTTTACAAACTCAAACACCCAAATGCAGCAGCAAAATAAGCAGCCCGCACAGCAGCAGCAAAATAAGCAGCCTGCACAGCAGCAGCAAAACGGCGTGCGCCGCACTTTTTGGACCGCCTGCCCATTTTGCACCGTGAGATATCAGTACTATAGAGAAGTTATAAATAAATCTATTCGCTGTCAACAATGCCATAGGCCCTTCGTTGCATATATTGTGGACGGGCAAGGTTCGTCTCAAACAACTAACTCAAGTCAGCAAGCATCTGGCCAGCAGAAAGATGGTTTGAATCATGGTACTTGGAAGGAAAGTGTTGGATCTGAAGGCAACTCGCATACTGAGAAGTCGAATACAAGGCCTTTCAAGAATGAAGACCCCGTTGGCTCGGGAATGCCAAATGTAAAGAGAAAGTGGAATCCATTGGAAGGCCTAAGCTCTGAGTCTTCAAGCAGTAGTGATTCTGATTCTGACAGTGAAATATTTGCTGGTGTGAATGGCTTTCCAGGTGTAAAAAACCATTCAACTGGGCAGCCACACAGATCTGTGCGACAGAAGCCTAACGTTTCCTACAGTTATAATATGAGCGACAATGACTCTTTAAGACCTTCAAAAAGGGGTGAGGAGAATGGAGCACCTTGTGTTAATGGTCAAAGTCATAATGAGACCATTAAAATGAATGATCAGAATGGTTCAGTAGCTGATCCAAAAGATGAACATGAAAAGGTAAAGCAGAAACAAGATTTTTATTCAAAAGAGAGCTCACTGAATAGAAATGAGCTAAAAAATTGGGCAAATGGAAAAGAAGCTATGGGTGGATCAAAGGTAAAGCAGAAACAAGATTTTCATTCAAAAGAGAGCTCACTGAATAGAAATGAGGAAAAAAATTGGGCAAATGGAAAAGAAACCGTGGGTGGATCAAAGCAGATGGGTGAAACTTCAGAGCATTTTTCTCCAAATTCAGTCTATAAGGCAACAAATCAGCCTAATGCTAATGTCTATCCCAATGCAGAGCATTCTTCTCCAAATTCAATCTCTAAGGTAACAAATTATCCTAATGCTTATGTCTATCCCAATGCCGAGTTCAGCGATTTTGACAAGGAGAGAAAAAAAGAATGTTTTGCACCTGGGCAGATTTGGGCTATCTATGATACAACAGATGGCATGCCTAGATTCTACTCTTTAATCAGAGAAGTTCTCTATCCTGAATTTCATTTGAAGGCAACATGGCTTGAACCACATCCAGATGACAATGATGAAATCAAGTGGGTAGATAAGGAATTGCCTGTGGCCTGTGGGAAATTTAAACTTGGTACCACTGATTTGATTAAAGATCATCTGATGTTTTCTCATCTAGCTCAGTGTGATAGGATGGGCCGCAATACGTTTAAAGTCTATCCTAGAAAGGGAGAAACATGGGCTGTTTTTAAAAATTGGGATATCAAATGGTACGTAAATGCGGAATCTCGTAAGCAGTATACATATGAGTTTGTTGAAATCTTGTCAGATTATGTCGAAGGTGAGGGTGTATCTGTTGTGTACTTGGGTAAGTTGAAAGGTTTTGTAAGCCTCTTCTTTCAAATTATGAAAGAAGATAACCGGCCATTTCAAATTCCATCCCTGGAGTTATTTAGATTTTCTCACAGGATTCCATCTTTCAAAATGACTGGTCAGGAAGGAGCAGGTGTTCAATTAGGATATTTAGAATTTGATCCTGCGTCTATACCAATGAATCTTGAAGAGCTTGCTGTTCCTCGAAATTTGGATGTGAAGATTGAGCATAGTTCACGAGGCAGTGAGAATGCAAAATCTAAACAAAAATCAAAATCCTTGTCGAGGCCGGAAGAAATTGCATCCACTCCCAAGGTTAATATTGAACCAGGCAATCCGACTGAGATAAAAGATTCTTTTGATGATATGGATGACGGCCATACTACTCCAACTTCAACCCTTGATGCTTTTGAAATTCCAGATGCTCAATTCTTCAACTTTGAAACTTGGAGGTCCCTTGATAAGTTCCAGATTGGTCAAATATGGGCATTTTACAGCGATGAAGATGGAATGCCAAAATACTATGGTGAGATTAAAAAAATTGAGACTAGCCCTGATCTTGAGTTGCATGTTAATTGGCTTGCTTGCTCCCAGCTACCAGAGGGTACCGATAAATGGAATGATGAAGATATGCTTACTACCTGTGGCAGATTTAGAATGATGAAAACAAATGATTTTCTCTCTGTTTACAATAGCCTCTCTTGTATTTCACATCAAGTACAAGCTGAGGCTATCGGTAAGAGTTACGCCATCTATCCAAGAAAAGGTGAAGTATGGGCTGTATATAGGAAATGGTCAAATGAAATCAAGTGTTCTGACCTGAAAAATCTGGAGTATGACATAGTGGAAGTTCTTGAAGAAGGTAGTTGGTTTATAGAGACTTTGGATTTGGAGAATGTTAATGGTTATCGAAGTGTCTTCAGAGGCAAAGTAATTGAAGGTTCTTCTGTCAAAGTGAGAATCCCCAGAAAATATTTGCTTAGGTTCTCTCACCAAATTCCAGCTTTCAAACTGACACAAGAGCATGGCAATCTCAGCGGCTTCTGGGAGCTTGATCCGGGTGCGCTACCACCATCATTCCTGTGGCCTTAGATGAAGCTTGGCGGGGAGGAAGAAGCCTTGGTAGAGACTGATATCCTTGATGTTTGATATGATATATAATATAGTTTTTCTTTTTGGAAGCTTAGCCTTTTGTAATTAGAGGAAACTATAGTTTTTGCTGATATGACAGCTCGGTGTAACATTTTGGGGTACTGTTCCGGCTAACTCTTGAAAGACAAAGGTGGTTGTTGTGCCGGTTCTTGGTTGCATTCGTGGCTTTCGTAGTGACAGTTTACAACTATATAAAAGTTATAATATGTTATTTTGTTATCTTTTATGGTTATCTTTCTCTTGCATGCATGATCTTAGACTTTAGTAGCCATGACGAAGATAATCACTTTTTTTTCCTTTCACTTGTTTCGTGCTATTCTGGGTTGTTTGTTTTAATTTTTTTAAAAAATGATTTATATATTGTTATATATTTTTGTTAATTTTTTTAAAACTTGAAATAAAAAATTAATTTAAATAGTTATTTTTAAAATATTATTTTAAATATTTCATTTTTTTGGATATTAATTTTTTTTAATTTGAAGTTATTTTAACTAATTTTTTATAAAAAATATTTTTGTGATATATATTTAAATTGTCAATAATACACATTTATATTCCATTATATTAAAATTAATCTTTTAATTTATAAAAATTAATCTTTTAAAAGAATTTATAAAAATTATTTTAAAAATATAAAAAACAATATTTTTTTAGAACTAAAACAAATTGAGTCGGCAAAATAAAATCAATTAAAAAAAAGAGAGAGACCGTCAAAATAAAATGGTACTAGTCAGTGTTTTAAAAATTGAATCGGTCATCGAACCAGTGAGGGTATTGTGTCACTGATTTATCGGTCGAACCACTGAGTTATTGGTCGAACCGCATGACTAAACCGGATTAAACCAGATAACTCGATTGAATAGACCTGTCATTATATAGATATAAAACCGGTCGAACCGGATGATTCAGTTTCTAAAAAAAATAACTAATACTTAAATTTTTTGAAAATATCATATCATAAATTCACAAGTTCATAATTTAAATTCAAATTTTGAACAAATGTATCACACATAACAAAATAATACAAAATTACAAAATCTAATTGGAAACAAAGTCTAATTGCAACAGTTTTCCCATGAATAATATCATTTATTGATTATTATAAAATAAGAGGTAACTATTTGCAAGTAAAATTCAATATGTTTATACTATTTCACTTTCCCTTTCAACAAAATACATGCCTTTTTCTATTGTTAATATTTTGACACTAAATATAATTAATTATAAATTATAATTAATTAAAATTATTAGTAGTGACAAAATATAAAAAGATAAAATATATAACAATCTAAAAAATTAAAATAATAAGATAATTAATTTGTTACTAACCACAAAATTACAAATTATTTAGGAAAATATATTAGCAAAAATAACAAATAGCTAATAAAGTCTGTAATTTGTCACTAACAAATTTTTTTTATGTGAGAATGCTATTTAAGTAATACACTACTAAGTATATTAAAAAAAAAGTTTAAAAAAAAAAGTTTTTTAAAAAAAAAAGGTAAAAAAAATAATTAAACCGCCAGTCTTTTCGATTTTTTCAGTTCACACCGATTCGCACCGGTTCAATAGCGAGGCCGATCCGCCAATTAAATCAGGCCAGCTAGTGTCCCAGTTTCCAATCCGACCGACCGGTCTAGTTCGATTTTTAAAACACTGGTACTAATAACTCAATATTCTGAAGTTCTTTCGAATCTATGTAGGTGTAACCAAAAGCGTTGTTTGGCGGGTTATTTAACTCATTTATGTTTATATTTATACCAACTACAATAATTATAAAGACATTACTAGTACTTTTTATCACTTGGGAATGAATTAAGAATCTTAGTAACATTTTTACAAGTGTTTTTTTAATAAATGTATTGTTAACATATGCTAACTTAAATTAATTAATTTTCTATTCATTTGTGGCTACACTTACACCAATCAAACTAAACTAAAAAAACCTTAATAATTTTCACATAATTATTTCAAAGCAATTCCAATAAATGTCCATCACTAAATATATTGTTTTCACATCATCTTAAAATATCATTTTAATTTCTACCTATTTATATCTACTTTGCCCGTTTGTCATGTTTAAATCCGTTTCGCAAAGAGACAGAGTAACACGGATATATTTGAGGGTGCAGATTTAAAAAGTTGTTCCATTTCACATAAAAAGAAAATTATACCTTATACTTTATCATTTATCTATCTACCCCTAAAAATTATGAGTTTGAACCAAAATATTCATATATAAATATCTAGACTTTAAAATTTTTCACTTTTTCCTTATTTCGTTTTAAAGAAAGCGGAAGCAGTTACAAAACGGAGAACACAAATACAAGATATTTGATTCAACAACCAACCAGAGAACACAAAGTAAAGATATTCGGTTTGTGAGGTGCTTTTTTTTTGTATTTTAAGTGATGTCAAAACTAGAATAATGTAGCGTTATGTATATTGTACGGTATCCTCTCATTCTAGATGTGCATTTTGTCATTAGGAAGCATTCAAATGAGTTTGAAAGGGAATCAACACCATACTTGCATTGAAAAACGTTTTTTAGCATACAAGTCAGTACAGGTCGACCTATGCAAGAACAATTTGACCTATACGAGCCTCTACTTCAGTATAGGTCGGTACATGGACTTTTTAGGTCGGCTCCTATGGAGCAGTATTGAAGTCTGTACATTCTGCCCACAGGTTGCCAGATAGGCGGTCCTATGACCTTCATAGGCCGACCTATTACCTTCACAGACCGATCTGAACGACACACATAGGTAGACCTATTGCCTTCATAGGCTGCCCTCTATGTTTTTCGCATCCAAAATTTTCAGTTTTGCTCCAACTTTTTGCATTCCTTTTGCCCATTCATTCACATACCTATATATACTCATACATGCATCTTCTTCTAGGTAAGGTTTCCTAGAGAATAAAACCTAAACGAAACCAAATTACAAAGTTTCTCATCATCTTCATCCCTTCTTCTATGCATTCACATAATCATTTTTCGATTAGGTGACCATCTAGATTAGGGTTGATATCGTCCAATTAGGTTTGGTGTAACCGAGAATATTAGGTTGTGGGCTTTGTGTGTTTCAAATAAGAAAACCAAGGTGAGGTTTTCCTTCAAGATCAGGTTGATTTGAAGGTTTTGGACGAGATCACGTCAACATAGATTCGGCCGAGCGAAAGCCTTGGGACAAGGTGGTTTCCTTGCAAGGGAGTAGCGCAAGACAGTGAATTGTGTTCGGGAATCTCGGGTTTCAACAAGTTGCGTGCTCGGGATAATCGGAGAATTGTAGGCATATTATTGGTCACTTGATCAAGCTTTGATTAAGGGTTGGAGGTGGAAGAATCAACACAAAACAATAAGGTTTTTGGGGTTTGCATTCTTGATCTCTTATATAAACATTTTTGCAAAGAAAAAGTTAATATCACTATCTCAATTGGATTTGAATTGAGGGCAGACGTACTCATAGCAAGGCTGATTGAGGAACTGCCTAAAAAAATATTGGTCTCTCTCTCTCTCTCTCTCTCTCTCTCTCTCTCTCTCTCTCTCTCTCTCTCTCTCTCTCTCTCTCTCTCTCTCTCTCTCTCTCTCTCTCTCTCTCTCTCTCTCTCTCTCTCTCTCTTCATCTCTTTATTTCTTTTATTGTTGATTACATGATTTATCAATTTCTGCATTGTTTGATCAATTCGATTGGAAATTGTTTTCTACTATCTTCTTTTAAAGTTGTTGTTGTTGATATAATCACAATCACTTTGATTGTGATAGGTTTTAACATCAATAAAACAAACTATATTTCCAGTTATTGTTGATCGCACATCAAGTGTTCGATAAATTGTTTGTGTGTATTTTGTTTGTGTTTTGGTTCATTGGATATACGAGTTATGATTAGCATTGCATTTAATTGATTCACAACTTGATCATTGTTGAACATTTACCTTCGTTATCACTCTGTTTGGTTTACGTTACTCGTATTGCTTTTCGATAGTAGGTTCGGTTAGACGATTCGATCCAGGTCATTTTCCGCTACACCATATTTTTAAAATAGATTTTTGCCAAAGTTTTTGGTTGTAAAATTTGTGATCTATTCACCCCCTCTAGATCGAAGCCTATCGTCTAACAAGTGGCATCAAGAGCTCTAGTTAATTTTGTGCTTGAGATACATTTCTTAGAAGAATGGCTACCGAACCTAAGGGTGCATGCAATAGAGCATCAATTTTCACCGGCAAAAATTACGGCTATTGGAAAGCACTTATGCGTATTCATGCCAACTCCATTGACAAAGGTATTTGGGATGCTATTCAAAATGGTCCAAATGAAATAACTATGACCAACGAGGATGGTGTTATAATACCTAAACCAAAAGCACACTGGGATGATAACAATAGGAAATTGTTGTCACATGATTGGAAAGCGAAGAACATTATCACTTTCGCCTTGGGAGTTAATGAGCTTTATCGTGTTTCTCATTGTGAGACTGCCAAAGCTATGTGAGACGCATTAGAGATTGTCTATAAGTGTACTAATGATATCAAACAAGTTAGGATCAACATATTGAATCAAGAGTTTGATTTGTTCCATATTTAGTATGGTGAAACCATTGCGGATGTGTGAAAATGGTTCATTCATCTTATAAATCGATTTAATGCACTAGGTAATCCTATTTCCAATGAACTTTCTACTAACAAAGTTTTGAGGTGTTTAAGTATGGAATGGCAACCAAAGGTCATTGCTATTAAAGAAGCAAATGATCTTAAGTTACTAGATCTTACGACTTTGTTCGGTAAGTTGAAAGAGCATGAGCAAGAGCTTACATGCTTGGCAAAATACAAGAAGGAATATGAAAAGCGATCAAAGAGTGAAAAATGGACAGATAAAGAAGAAAGGAAGAAGTCTATTGCTCTAAAGACTTATAGCTCAAGGCATTCATATTATGAGCATTGTA